AAAGTGTTTCAGGCTGAAGAGAAATGGTATCGGATGGAAACCTGGATCTACACAAAGGAATAAAGAATGCTGGAACTGGCAAGTACAGGGGTAAATATAAAAGTTTTTTTGTTTCTTATTTTCTTTAAAAGAAAATTGGCTGCTTAACGCATTGTGAGCTTACACCACATGCAGATGTAAACTGTCAAGAAGTAAACGGAGATATAGTTCTGTAAGTTCTAATGTTATATATAAAACAACATAAAATTAATTCAAGAGTAGACTGCGATAAGGATGCATATTGTAATCTCTAGAGGTTACCACAAAACAAAATAAGACAAACAGTAAAGCTAAGAATAAAATAGATAAGTTAAATGCTAAGAAATAGTTAATTAATCCAAAAGGAGAGGAGGATAAAGACATAACAAACACATGGGATAAATGGGATAACTAGAAAACAGTAAGATGGTAGACTTAAATCCAATCACAGGACTGATTACATACATTTAGACAGACTGAGAACTTCAGTTAAAAGGTAGAGATTTTCAGACCCAACTACTTTAAAATAAAAAGACCCTCTTTTTAAGTTTACTATGCAACATATATTTTAATAGCTAATAGTAGCTATCTATATTAGCAACTCCAAAAACTTTGTGCAAATATGTGAAATGACTTTTGAATATCACCTGACAGTGGCTCCAGTATAATCCCTAGGGGGAGGAACTGATGTGAGGGTAGTTAATAGCTGACATTATGGCACTTTACATTCATTAATAATTTAATCTTCACAATGACCTTATGAGGAAGTCACTTCCATTGTACTAATTTTATATGGGAGAAGACTAATGCCCAGAGAATGTGATGTGCCCAAGTAACATGCTAGTGAGCCCAGGCTCTTAACTACTCTATGCTGCCTCTCTGCTAAAATTAATCACTGTACTGCATCACCTGAAAGATACTGCATAAACAGAGAGGAGGTGTGCAACAAGCAGAGAGCAAGAGCTGGTCATCAGCCTCTATCCTGACCCACGGGAGGGGTGCCTGACCAGCAGTACTAATCACTGGCAGGTGTGTGGATGAGGAGATGGAATCACCTCACTATCCTCACCTGTGAAAACTATCTAACAAGATTTTTACCACAAACTCCTGTTGCTTTAGTTCTAGGTCTCACTGAGCAGCCTTCTGATTATATTCTGACTTCGTTGGCAAAGGAAGAAGACCCTGACTAAGGCATGCAAATGTTCCAGGCTCTGTGGCAGTTAGCACTGTCATTAAAAAAAGTAAACTGGCATCTGACATATGTTTCAGACTCTCCTAAACTTAAGAAACATGACTCAAGCTTCCCTGAGCTTTCTCACCTTCAGGGGTGAAAACAGGACTTCTAGTCCTGCAGATCTTTGAAATTCCGGATTAGAATGACTTTATCAAGGTTAAGTTCTCACGGGAAGATGCACAAACACTCTGGGAGGCTAGGCCTGGGTGGTCAATCAGGCCCTCTAGACTTTGGTCTAAACTCTCTCGTTCTAATTGCAATAAGGTAAGCCAAGAAGATACATTATAATAAAGGCATGAGAAAGAATCTGTAAGCATGTTGTAGAGCACATAAATAAAAAGCTGCCAAGAAGATGAAATCCTTATTCATTAAATTTAACCAAATTATTCATCAAAGAACATTCCCTGAGGAAGGCCTCTGAAGAGTTTTACATTAATCATTCACTCCAAACAGTAAGAAAACTGGCTTAAAAAAAAAATCCCTCAGAACCTTAAGGTGCCAGCAAGATAAAGATAGTCCATGAAGGCCAGGTGTGCCGAGTAAGCAACTGGCCAATAGAACAAGAGTCAACCAAAATGGACTAAGAAAGCAGGGAAGCCATATAAACATCTCCATGTAAAACATGCATGCACGATACTCCTGGATTTGCTATAAAAGATTCACAAAAATAACTTCTCTGAAGAAATCCATGAAAATTACCTTTGCTTTAAAGGTAAACCTAAGCCTACTCACCAACCTTTCACTGATTCATTCAGCCACATTTATGCACAACCCCTTACCCTTTCCCATCCTGTAGCTGATACTCTACAGTGCTTCTCAGATCGTATCTGACCTATCTGGAACACTCTCTCCTGACACTGACCTTACTAGCTTCCTCATTATAGTCAAGTCTTGGCTCAAACATCTTGGTAAATATGTCTTCCCTGACCTCAATATGTAAAAGAGCACCTCCCAACCCCACCACTTTTCATCGTTACCCTGCATAATTTTTCTCCACTTATCACTAATATATTTGCTGTCTGTCTCTCTTCAGTAAAGGAAGCTCCATGAGAGTAGAAATTTTGTGTTTTACTTTCTGCTGTACTCATACAATTTAGAACAGTGCCTGGCAAGAGAATACAACATAAATACTTATAATTCAAGGTCTAGGAAGACAGGTCTAAGCTGACAGACCTCATAAGCAGGGCAATGTCGTGGCATAAACGAGTCACAATGAGCTTGGCCCAGGAGAGGCAGAAACCTTTCTTGGAGGAACAGATGCAGAGCAGGTTGTGAAGGAAGGGTGGAAGCAGGGGCGTTCCAGCATGGAAATCATCATGTGAAAAGGCACAAGGCATAAAGGGTCATTCACACTTGAGGAGCCTTGTCTGGCTGCAAGAAGGTGAATGGTGAAAGTGACAGAAGAAAGAAAGTGACAGAAGAAAGATAAGAGGACAGTGCACACATGCCAGGGCAAGGAGTCACTGAGGGGTTTTAAGGTGAGAAACAGCATGTCCAGATTTGTTTTTCACAAAAGTAGAGATGCAGGGTGGAGGGTGGGAGGAGGGAATCTGTAGTCAGGGAGACCATTTAGGAGATTCCTGCAAAAGTCTCCAGAAAGGTCAAAGGTGCTGAAACTACAGCAGCAGCATTGAGAATGGAGATAAAACAGATGTCTTGACTGAGTAAGAAGATCTCACTTTTCAACTCTCTCTCTCCACAAAAGTCTCCACAAAGGTCAATGGTGCTAAAACTACAGCAGCAGTGTGGAGGACGGAGATAAAATGTCTTGACTGAGTAAGAAGAACTCATTTTTCAAGTCTCTCTCTCTCTCACACACACACACACACACACACACACACACACCACACAACACAGACACATACACACATTCTCTCTAATACTTTTAGGTGTGGCTATATTCAGAAACCAAATCATGTGATTAGATAAAAATCTAATCTCTCACAGCTCTGCTCTCTTCTAAATTAATATTATTTTTAGTCAGTCCTTTGCCCACAGTGTACCTCAGCAGTGACAAGCTTAAATAAGCCTAAACACTGCCATCCAAGAGGAAAAGCCCATGGTTTCAATGAGACTCACTCCTCCAGGAGGAGATGCTATGTTTCTGTGGGCGAGCCTGAGCTGAATGTCCGCTGCTGCAACTGGAGATAGGGCCACTGCTGCACAAGACACAGAGGGGACCAAGGGGATAGGCTAGTTCCTCAGGGCAAGCTTGAGCACTGCTACCAGAAAACGGGAAATGGATGCTAGGCAAAAAATGGGAAATGGTCGCCCAAGGTGGAGTGCCATGGCACGATCTAGGCTTACTGCAACCGCAGCCTCCTGGGTTCAAGTTATTCTCCTGCCTCAGTCTGTCAAGTAACTGGGTCTACAGGTATGTGCTACCATGCCTGGCTAATTTTTGTATTTTTAGTGGAGGCAGGGTTTTGCCATGTTGGCCAGGCTGGTCTCAAACTCCTGACCTCAAGTGATCCACCAGCCTTGGCCTCGCAAAGTGCTGGGATTATAAGCATGAGGCACCGGGAAATGCAATCTGCACTGTCAGTACTTTAGCAGAGTGTCCTATGAATAGAAAGACTCCACAGTTGTTGGCCAACAGGTAACTAACAACACCTACAGTAGCATTCGTCTACAAACAGACTGCTGCCAAAGATTCTGGAGTTCTTCCTGACTTCGCTCTTTCTCTGTCAAATCTGATGTGACAGCTCGTACTACCAGTTGTAACTTCAAACACTATCTAGAATCCAACCACATCTCAATCTTTATAGTCACCACCTTGGTCCAAGCCAGGACCTGGACTGCTTAGCCTCCTAACAAGGTCTCCATGCTTCTTGCCTGGCTTTGACAATCTATTCTCCACACAGCAGTCCAAGAAATTCCAGTAAAATGCAGGTCAAAGACAGGAGGGTACTACACTGGCATCTCCTCCCACCCAGGGCATGAGTCAGCACTGCTCTTAACCTGGCTGGCCTTCCTGGGGACCCTCCTACATCCCCACCCATCCTCACCCATGCTTTTCATCACAAAGCCACCAGGCTCTGCCTCAGGGCTTCTGCCCTTGTTTCTCCTATCCAAGATATTCCTTTCCTGAATTTCTTCAAGCCTCACTCCCTCCTTTACATCTCTATCCAAAGGTCACCCTTTCTGTGAGACATTCCCTGAATGTCATTTGAAATTACAGGCCCCTTGCCAGGTATGATGGTTCATGCCTGTAATCCAGCACTTTGGGAGGCCAAGGCAGGTGGATCACTTGAGCCAAGGAGTTTGAGACCAGCCTAGGCAACATGGTGAAACCCTGTCTCTACTACAGACAAAAAATTATCCAGGAATGGCAGTGAATGCCTGTAGTCCCAGCTACTCAGAGTCTGAGGTGAGAGAATCACCTGAGCCCAGGAAGTCAAGGCTGCAATGAGTGGTCATTGCATCACTACATTCCAGCCTGGGTGACAGGAGTGAGACCATATAAAAAAAATAAAAATAAAAATTACAAGTCCCCTTCCAACCCAGCTCTTTCCCCATAGTGCTTACTGCCATTTGACCTACCTATCTATTTTCCTATTTGTTTGTCTGTCTCTCTGGAATGTAAGAGCAACGATTTTGACTATTTTGTTTACTATTGTTCCAGCATATAGCAGTCACACAACAAATATCTTCCGAATGAATGAATATGTCCTCAAAAGTTGGGGGCAAACATGAACTACAGCAGAAAAAAAAGTGGAAATCTTAATATGAAATTATTTACACTTACTTGGCACAGCGTACCCAGTGTGTATGTCGATACAGGGAATACAGGAAGCACTGGCGATACATGCTCCATACTTTTATGGATTTGTCCTCAGAAGCTGTAGCTAGAAACTGGCCATCAGCTGAAAAGTCTACACTTCGAACTGGAGCTGTATGAGCTTTAAATTCTGAGAACTTTCCTCTCCTGGAAATAAACAGTTTAATATTTATAACTCATTCGATTTAATTATAATTAATACTTAATCACAATACAAACTTCAAAACATATAAAATAGTTTAAATAAAATGGTTTAACTCTTGTAAAACCTAATAAAAGTATGAAAAGGCTATGCTGCACTGTACTCTTCATCAACACTGAAATTTCCTTGAAATATTTCCTTAAAATTTCCTCGAAATTTCAGGTGTTGAGAATTGAAGGGTAGAGAAAAAGAGAATGAAAAAAAAGATGGAGAAAATAATGTGAGGCATTTGAAAAGTAAAGAGCCTTAAAATAGGAGCAGGCTAGACAGTGTTTGAGTTACAAGGTGGTATGTGGTAAATGCTACTTTGTGTCAGTGTTCCCAGGTTCCCAAGGCATTTTCACCTTACACTGTATCCAGGACTTAGCAATTTTCCCATTTAGAAAATCATATTGATACTCCAGATATCTTATGGGGAAAATTGTAATAAATGCTTGAAAAAAATCAGGCAACAGAATTTAGCTGGCCACAATATATTTCTCAGATGTTCAAATGTTCACACTGATCTCCCACACACCTGCACCTTGTCCTGTATTTTGTTACCTTGGCTGGTCAGAGTGACATCACCTGTGTCCAAGCCAGAAGTCTGGTATTCACACTCAACTCCTCCCGCTTCCTCTCCCACATCCAGTAAGTTAGCAAACCATATCATCCTCACTTCCTAAATGTCTTTTGAATCCTCCTCTTCTATGTCACCTCTGCTTGCCTTAAGATAGATATATCCGCAACATCCTTCACCTAGGTTATTGCAAAAGCCTCTTAACTGGTCGTCCTGCTCTAATCTTTTGTCCCCTTCTGGTCACCTACATATTGTGCTTATTTCCTTGCTAAGCGTGTAATGCCAAGCATGTAAATCCTAGTGTAAATGTGTCACTGGCTCTTCTCCAAAAGAAAGCACAATGCCCAAGGGCTTTGGTGAGGCATCCTGCCACTACACTGAACTTTGTACTCAGAACAGTCACAGCACTTCAAACACACCCCTGCCTTTGCAGTTATTGCTTTCTCAGGCTGGACTACTTCCTTCCCCCATCCCTAGGCCCCCTTGACCAAGCCAGACAGGCTTAATGGCTCCCTATCTGCTACAACAATTTTGCTTACTACACTATACAGTGACTTTTTAAAGAACTATTTCTCTCCTCTTAAGCAGTACATTTTTGGAGAACAGGAATGATGATTTATTCATCTCTATAAGACCACATCTAGCAATATGTCAAGCACATTAAAAAGAACTCAATACGTGTTGAATTCCACTCAGAACAGTCAATAAAGGCTCTTAGACCCAACCTGGCTTACTCTTCTAGTGGTTGGTAGGGAGCAAAGGTGACTTTATCATAAATCTGACATACGATATTACTCATGAATAACTGAAATTAATACTAAACAAAAATTAGGAGGGAGCATCTAGAGACTAGCTCAGTGAGGTTTTCAAGGGTGAATTTCATGAATGGAAATCAGGAGTATAGTTTGGCCTGAATCCAAGTATAATGTCTAGAGAAAACAAAGAAAAGATAAGGCATCTGCAACGACCAGGAAGCTAAGAGACAGACTGTCAGTATCACCAAAATTTGCCCTGATTTTTAGTTTGGCACTCCACACTCCAGCAGGCTGTTCTCTTTGCCACCTTTCTAAACAGCTCTCCTCTCAGCTGTAGGCTAAACCAAGCACCAGATCCAGCCTCAACAGGAAACAGAAGAAACCAAGATAGGAATGCCTTCTGTTTGTTGTGCTGGTGCCTAAACTGGTTTCTAGTTCCTCATTTTGACTTAATACAGGCTCTCTGCCTCCTAAATATTTACTTTCCCTTTCAGCTAAATTCTCTTGACTGTTCACTGTGACCAACTCTGGGCCAGACTTGCTTTCAGACTTGTTCCTACCTATTCTTTTCTTATTTATTTTCTTGAGATGTGTTCTCTTTCTGTGACACATGCTGGAATACAGTGGTGCAATCACTACTCGCTGTGATTCAAACTCCTGTGCTCAATAGATCCTCCTTCCTCAGCCTCCTGAAGAGCTAGGACTACAGGTGTGTATCACCATGCCCAGCTAATTTTATTTTTTATTTTTATTTTTTATAGAAACAGGATCTCACTATATTGCCCAAGCTTGTCTTGAACTCTTGGCCTCAATTGATCCTCCTGCCTCAGGCTCCCAAAATGCTGGAATTACAGGTGTAAGCTATGCCCCCTGCCTCTCCCTATTCTTTCTTAGCCTTCTGATCACCAGCTGTGGTGTCTATCTGTAAATATGGCTGGCAATACTCATCTCATCCCTGTGCATGCATGTCTCTCTGCTTCACATGAGGTGGGATCTGTTTATTTCTCCTCCCTTTGAATCTGGGCTGGTGTTGTGACTTTACTTTGAGCAACAGAACATGGCAGAAGTGACGCTGCAAGTTTTGGGCCTAGTCCTTAAATGGTCTAGCAGCTTCTGCTTTGATTCTCCAGACAACCCAGAAAATTGTGACAAATCAGTTTCTGAACTAACCTACTAAGGTTTTAGGACAGTCATACAGCAATAGATAACTGACACATCATCTGCCTTCCTGTTGCCACAATCTACCATTATTGGTCTGGCCCTACTATGACATGATTTAGTAAGAGAAACTAGGGACACCTACACAAGCCTAATCACTGTATTTAGATGAGCTATGACAAATTAATGATTCAGTGAGCTTTCAGCTCATCTACCCTTATACAGTTTGTTCACTGAGATTTCCTTGAATTAGTAACGGGAGACTGAAGTTATGCTGTGCTGAAGATAGCAAAAAGGCTAGTCCTAAATTCCCAAAGCTAAGGGTTTTGGAACATGCTTCTCCTCTCAGACACCAAACCAGTTCCTTCTCCCTTAGAATTCCCTGCTACATTGCCATCCATTATAACATGTCATTCCTCTTAGTTTTCACTACCATTGGAATAATATTCAGATTTCTCAGCATAGAGTTCCCCTTGGGTGGTGGCAGAAGAAAAGCACCCACCAGCATTGGAAGGCTGGCATGGGAAGGCCCATGAGCTTTCCTTTATTTGGGAGTGCTTAGGCCTGTTTAGCCACAACGTACAAGTCAAATCCTGTCACGACAGTGTCAAGGAAAATGCTCAAATTCTTTTTTTTTTCCAGACAGAGTCTTGCTCAGTCACCAGGCTGGAGTGCAGTGGTGTGATCTCGGTTCACTGCAACCACCACCTCCCAGATTCAAGCAATTTCTCCTGCCTCAGCCCCCCAGTAGCTGGGACTACAGGGGCATGCCACCACGCCCAGCTAATTTTTGTATTTTTAGTACAGACGGGGTTTCACCACATTGGCCAGGATGATCGCGATCTCTTGACCTTGTGATCCGCTCGCCTAAGCCTCCCAAAGTGCTGGGATTACCGGCATGAGTAACTGTGCCCAGCCAAAATGCTCAGATCCTTATCCTCTGAAGCAGTGGTCCCCAGCCTTTTTAGCACCAGAAACCAGTTTCATGGAAGACGATTTTTCCACGGGACCAGGGGGTTGGGGGGAAGGATGGATGATTTGGGGATGACTCAAGCACATACATTTATCAAGTACTTTATTTCTATTACTATTATTATTATTTAAGACAGTGTTTCACTCTTTTCTGCCTAGGCGGGGCAATGGCACAATCTTGGCTCACTGCAACCTCTGCCTCCTGGGTTCAAGCAATTCTCCTGCCTCAATCTCCTGAGTAGCTGGGATTATAGGTGTGAGACACCATGCCTGGCTAATTTCATATTTTTAGTAGAGACAGGGTTTCACCACATTGGCCAGGCTGGTCTCGAACTCCTGACCTCAGGTGATCCACCTGCCTCGGCGTCCCAAAGTGCTGGGATTACAGGCATGAGCCACCACGCCCAGCCCTATTTCTAATATTATTACATATTCACTATAATGTAGAATCAGTGGAAGCCCTGAACTTGTTTTCCTGCAACTAGATGGTCCCATCTGTGGTGATGGGAGACAGTGACAGATCATCAAGCATGAGATTCTCATATGGAGCGTGCAGCCTAGATCCCCTGCATGCACAGTTCACAATAGGATTTGTAGGATTTGTGCTCCTATGAGAATCGAATGCCTTCGCTGATCCGACAGGAAGCAGAGCTCTGTTGTGTGGCCTGGCTCCTAACAGGCCATGGACTGGTACTGGTTGGTGGCCCAGGGGTTGGGAACCTCTGCTCTGAAGTATTTATGGGGGGAAATAATATGATATGTGGAATTTGTTCTAAAAATACTCCGGGGAAAAGTGAGGGGAGGTGTAGATGAAACAAGATGGGCAGAATCCTGACAACTGCTGAAGCTGATTGATGGGAATATGGGGGCAGGGGAGTCATGCTATTCATTCTATTTTCATATATGTTTGAAAATTTACATCCTTAAAGCTAATTTTGTATTTTTAGTAGAGACGGTGTTTCATCATGTTGGCCAGGCTGGTCTCGAACTCCTGACCTCATTATCTGCCTGCCTCAGCCTCCTAAAGTGCTGGGATTACAGGTATGAGCCACCGCGCCAGGCCAAGAAGACATAAATATGAGGAAAAAACTGTATGAATTTGTTTGACTTTACAACAAAGGCAGCATGCCTTGTATGTGACTGAGACTAGTAGTTCAGATAGCAGTGCATGAGCAGCAGCCAGGCTCAGCTGTCTTTCACATTTCCAAATCCAAAGCATAGCAAGTATTTATCTGTTTCTCTTACTTATCAGGAATCCAGAGTCTCACAGTTCTGTCTCGTGAGGCAGATGCCAATAAGTTTCCATGTGGAGAAAACTGCACGCTGGTTACAACATCCTTGTGACCCACATATCTGTAAGCTCTAGCATGTGGCTTGAAATTCCATAGCATGAGAAAGGTATCCCAAGAAGCAGTAGCTATCAAGAAATAGAAGAACAAAACCATTGTTTGTTAAAATGCAAACATAGGTGTCTCTCATTACAATGAGCAGCATTAATAACAAGGCTTCCAGGTAATAGAGAAGCTGGAGGTTGTAAGGATGACCAGGTAATAGCCAAATTACTTTTTTTTTTTTGAGATGGAGTCTCATTCTGTTGTTGCCAGGCTGGAGTGCAGTGGCATGATCTCGGCTCACAGCAATCTCTGCATCCCAGGTTCAAGTGATTTTCCTGCCTCAGCCTCCCGAGTAGCTAGGGGTACAGGCACACACCACCATGCCCGGCTAACTTTTTTGTATTTTAGTAGAGACGAGGGTTTCACCATGTAGGCCAGGATGGTCTGAATCTCCTGACCTTGTGATCTGCCTGCCTCGGCCTTCCAAAGTACTGGGATTACAGGCGTGAGCCACCACACCCGGCCCCCAAATTGTTTTTTAAAGGTACTCAAAACTACATGACTAATATACAAGCTTGGCAGTGTCCTATGTAAGTACACAGCAGGATGACTGCCCCCTGTATTCGATTAATGCTTAGTAAATTTATGTACTAGAAGGCCTCAGTATAGTGTAACAGAGGGTACACGGGACTAAGAGTCAGTTTTGTTTCTAACTCTGGGTAACGGAAAGCTACTTAACCTCTGTGTCATGATGTCATGAGGACTGAATGTTTTTCCTGAGAGGGATGGATGAGATAATTTTTCAAACTGTTTATGTGGAAATAATTTCACACTTACAAAAAAGTTACAAGAATAGTACAAACAACACTAATACGCCTGTTACCCAAATCTACTTGTTAATATTTTGCTTCATTTGTTTATAATTTACTCTGTACTTGTTTCTCCTGGTACATAAACACAAATAAACACACACAACACACACATACACACACACACACAATTTTTTTCCTGAATCATTTAAGAGTAAGTTATACAACTCATGGCACCTTTATTCCTAAATACTTTAGTGGTTTTCCTAAGAATACGGATATTCTCTTAACACACAGCACAGTTACCAGCTTCATGAAGCTGATTGTTAAAGATGCAATATGTTAATATACCAACTATATTTTAATTTTATCAACTGAGCCGGTAATACTTTATAACTGGATAAGATGATCTTAAAAGTCTCTTTCTGCTCTACAATTTAATGGCATTGATGATTAATAAAATAAACTCATGTGTCAGACACTAGCTTAAGGATTTACAAAAAGAAAAACAAATGCAATCAATGTGGAAATAAATGCCTTGACAAAGAATGAACAAATAAACAAATGAAAGGTTGATCTAACTCCTGCCTAAAAAACAAATTTTTTTATATGCATGTAGCCCTAGAATAGCCCCAATAATGGGAAGTAGGTCAATGAGAATCACTAAATCTGGATTGTAGAACACTTAGAAAAAATGTAATGTTATAAACTTGAACACAATTAGTATAATTGTTAGGAAACAAATAGGACCTAGCTATATAAAGTCACTGAAACCTATGTTCTTTTGCCAACATATAAAGTTCATGTGGGCTCAGCTCATGCATTATTTCCATGTAAAACAGTTAAAGTAAGTTCAGCTACAATATTGCTTAGCGTCCCCTTTTTAAAAAGGTACAAAGAGTTAACATTCCACCAAAGCTTATCCAAATTAGTAAAGATTTATAACAGAGTCTAAATTATCCAAGGCTAATGTAGACAAAGCAGGGAAAATACTGAGTTATCATATATATTAAACTCAGGACCCTATTTGAGTTCTCTGTATTATGCTGGAAGCAAGAAATACAAAAGCAAATAAGATACAATCCTTTCCCTCAAAGAATCACATAGTAGGGAAGACATCATTAATAATACACATATGCAGAGGACTTTTATATATTATTTACTCATCAATGTTAGGTGGGGTAATTGGGTAGTCCATTCTGAGGAAAGGATGTTTGAGCAGAGCGGTGAGTGAAATGGGGAGTGATCCTGGCTGAGACATGGAGAAAGAGCACCTGGAAGAATGAGGAATGGCACAGAGGTCAGCGTTTCCACAGTAGAGGGGAGAGAAAGAGACTGGTGGGAGGGAAGCCAAAAAGGGGGCAGATGGAGGAGGAGAAGTCATGGTGGGAGGAGTATCATCTTATTCTAAAGTGCAATGTGCCATTATCCTAAGCAAATTAATGCAGAACAGAAAACCAATACTGTATGTTCTCGCTTATAAGTGAGAGCTGAACATTAGGTACACTGGACATAAAGATGGCAACAACAACCACAGGGGACTACTAGAAGAGGGAGGAAAGGTTTGAAAAACTAACTATTGAGAACTATGCTCACTACCTGGATGATGGAATCAATCATACCCCAAATCTCAGCATCATGCAATATACCCAACATACCCATGTAACCATATACCCTGCACATGTAACCCCTGATTCTAAAATAAAAGCTGAAATTATTAAAAGAAAAACTGCCTATGGATGATGGACATTTGGGTTGGTTCCAGATCTTTGCTATTGTAAACAGTGTCACAATGAACATATGTGTGCATGTGTCTTTATATAGAACAATTTATAATTATTTGGGTATATACCCAGTAATGGGATTGCTGAGTCTAATGGTATTTCTATTTCTAGGTCCTTGAGGAATCTCCACACTGTCTTCCACAATGGTTGAACTAATTTACAGTCCCACCAACAGTGTAAAAGTGTTCCTGTTTCTCCACATCCTCTCCAGCATCTGTGGTCTCCAGATTTTTTAATGATCACCATTCTAACTGGTGTGAGATGGTATCTTAATGTGGTTTTGATTTGCATTTCTCTAATGACCAGTGATGATGAGCATTTTTTCATATGTTTGCTGGCCTTATATATGTCTTCTTTTGTAAAGTGTCTGTTCATATTCTTCACCCACTTTTAAATGGGTTTTTTTTTTTCTTCTAAATCTTCTTTGGTTCTTTGTATACTCTGGATATTAGCCCTTTGTCAGATGGGTAGATTGCAAAAATTTTTTCCCATTTTGTTGGTTGCTGGTTCACTCTAACGATTGTTTCCTTTGCTGTACAGAAGCACTGAAGTTTAATTAGATTCCATTTGTCTATTTTGGCTTTTGTTGCCATTGCTTTTGGTGTTTTAGCCATGAAGTCCTTGCCTATGCCTATGTCCTGAATGGTTTTGCCTAGGTTTTCTTTTAGGGTTTTTATGGTGTTAGGTCTTATGTTTAGCTCTTTAATCCATCCGGAGTTAATTTTAGTGTAGGTGTCAGGAAGGGGTCCAGTTTCTGCTTTCTGCACATGGCTAGCCAGTTTTCCCAGCACCATTTATTAAACAGGGAATTCTTTCTCTAATGCTTGTTTTTGTCAGGTTTGTCAAAGATCAGATGATTGTAGATGTGTGGTGTTGCCTCCGAGGCCTCTGTTCTCTTCCATTGGTCTATGTCTCTGTTTTGGTACCAGTACCATGCTGTTTTGATTACTACAGCCTTGTAGTATAGTTTGAAGTCAGGCAGCATGATGCCTCCAGCTTTGTTCTTTTTGCTTAGGATTGTTTTGGCTATGCAGGCTCTCTTTTGGTTCTATATGAAGTTTGAAATGTTTTTTTCCAGTCCATCATTGATGGACTGGATAAAGAAAATGTGGCACATATACACCATGGAATACTACACAGCCATAAAAAACAATGAGTTCATGTCCTTCCTAGGTATGTGGATCAATCTGGAAACCATCATTCTCAGCAAACTGACACAAGAACAGTAAACCAAACACAAGCATGTTATCAGTCATAGGTGGGTGCTGAACAATTAGAACATGTGGACACAGGGAGGGAAGCATCACACACTGAGGTCAGTAGGGGGTGACTAGGGAAGAGACAGTGGGGAGTAGGGAGGGAGGGGAAGGTTAACGAGGGGAGAAATACCAGATATAGTTGATGGGGAGATGAAGGCAGCAAACCACCTTGTCACATATGTACCTATGCAACAATCCTGCATGATCTGCACATGCACCCCAGAACCTAAGGTGCAATAAAAAAAATTTTTTTAAAAGGGAATGATATTGAAAAAAATAAAAAAAAAGAAAGAAAAACTGTGATGGGAAAGTACTCTAGATTTTGAGCAGGGGGAATCTCATGATCTGGTTTAACAATAAGAAAAGAATTTTAAGAAATTGTATTCTCAAAGGAGGGCAATAAAATTATAAAAAGAAATAAAAAACAAAACAATTGTGGTGGGTCAACTGGACATTCATAAGGAAGTAAATCAATCTTGATTCCTACACTTTTTATAACATGCAAAATTAATTCCACAAAGAATGTAGATCTAAATGTGTTAGGTAAAACAATACATTTTAGAAGAGAACACAGAATATCTTCATGACCTTGAGGTACGCGAAGATTGCTTTAAAAGACATTAAAGTTAATAAGCATAAAGGAGAAGAATGATAATTTGTCTATACAAAAACTAAGTTTTGTTCACTGAGAGATACCAATAACAAAGTAAGCACAAAGTAAGCCACCAAATGGCAAAGAAGATATTTATAACCCATATATCCAACACATAACAAAGTGTACATATACAGAATCTATAAAGAATGCTACAAATCAGCCAGGTATAGTGGCTCATGCATGTAATTCCAGCACTTTGAGAAGCCAAGGTGAGAGGATCACTTGAGGTCAGGAGTGTGAGACCAACATAACGAGACTCCAACTCTACAAAAAATAAATAGTAAGAATGCTACAAATCAATAAGAAAAAGGCACATTACCCAACCAAAAAAAAAAAAAAAAATAGGCAAAGGACTTAAACAGGCACTTTGCAAAAGAAGATACCCAAATAGCCAGTGAACATATGAGAAGGTACTCAATTCCATTAGTCATCAGGAAAACATAAATTAAAACCATGATGAGATATCCATGCACTGTAATCGTCAGAATGATTACAATGAAAAAGATAAATAACACCAAATCTTGGTGAGGATATAGAACAAAAGGAATGCTCATATACTATTAGCAGTTATAACCA